CCTCCGCCCCATCCGCCTCCACGCCCCCAACGGCCCCAGCGTCGGGCATGCTGTCCAGCTGTTCCACGCCGCCGCCGGGCGCGGGGCGCCACCGCGGCAGGTGCAGGCGCGCCCCCGCATCCTCCTCGCCCTCGGGGGCCGCCAGCCCCCGCGCCGCGACCAGCGCGAGCTCGATCGTCCTCGCGGACAGCAAATCGCACCCGTCGAGGCCCAGCGCGCAGAGCACGCCCTCCGCCTCGGCCGCGGACAGGCCAAGGCCGCCCCAGCCCCGATGGGACGCGAGGAGCGGCAGCACCTCCGAGCGCGCGGGCCGCGGGGCGCGGGCGTCGGGCATGGCGGCGCGCAGGCGGCGCTGGAGCGCCTTGACCGCGGCGGCCGGGATGATGGCGGCCGGGGCGCTGTGGTGGCAAGAGAGGGCCGCGGCGCTGGCCGCGGCCGCGTCCGCCACCCACCTGCCCGCGCGGGTGCAGCGATTTTAACAAGGAGACAGCAGCGCAGGCGGTGGGATGGCAATAATTTCTGTCCTGGCAGAGCGCGCATGGCTGCGGCAGAGGAAGGGGTCACTGCAACCCACCCCATCAAATCCAATCCTGTCCGGCCCTCACCTGGCACCGCTGCCCCTCCACAGCTCTGGTAGGTCAAGGGAGTCCTCCAGCGCCGCCAGATGCCCTGAAGCTTCCCCCTCTCCCCCCTCGTCCCCCCCGCTTCCGCCGCCCCCGCCGCCGCGGCGGCCGCCGAGCTCGCGGGGCGCGCGGCCGGCCACAATGTCGATGAGCCAGTCGGCGGGATTCTCGGCGGGCAGCCGCCGGAAGCCGAGGGTCTCGAAGTATGGGGCCGCCAGGGCCGGGTGGCCGGCAAACGCGGGCTCGCGGGAGGGGGTCAGCAGCAGCACCTGTAATGTGCATCATGGGCGAGGGGGCACATGATAGCGATAATCGCGCCCCGAAAGAAGGCCGTCGGGGCCCGCCGCTGCGGGGGCCATGGAAGGGGGCCAGGAGGCAACGCCGCAAGCGCGGTGCGACCTGCCTGTTATGTCGTCCCGGCAGCAGGCGCCGCGCCCGACAGCGCGCAACCACCCAGGCCAGGCGCCGGGCACTGGCTGCAGTGGTCAACCCCCAAACAGAAGTTGTGATATTGATGACTCACTTGCTGGAAGAGGCGAAACAGCGCGTACCGCGGCTGGTGCAGTACAGCCACCACAGTCATGCCCAGCCGCGACAATGACAGCAGCCCCCTGCGCGCGGAACGCGTGATAGGCGCAGCGTCGGCGGCGGGACCGGCACGGAATTTCGCTTTCCGACCGGTCCGCCCGCCGCCTGCCACGCCTTGTGGCGCGAGCCAGCTGCGCGGCTCGCAAGTCAGGTGGTAAGTCATGCTCACCATGCCACGCTTATGGAAGCGCTGGCGTCCAGCCCGCTGGTCGGCTCATCTAGGTATAGCACGCTCGGCCGCCCCACAATCTCGACCCCGATGTTCACGCGCCGCCGCTCCCCGCCGCTCACGCCGCGCCGCTCCGGCCCGCCGACGACCGCGCGCGCCGCGTGGCCGAGGGAGAGCAGCGACAGCGCGTCGGAGACGGCGGCGGCGCGCGTGGCGCGCGGGGCGCCGGCTGGCAGCGTCAGGGCGGCTGAGAAGTAGAGGTTCTCCCTGTCATCACGTCCAGCGGCAGGCGGCGGTCAACAGCAGTCAACGGCGATCGCTGCGCGCGATCTCAGATTGGAAGCGACGCAGGCAGGGCCCGCCTCCCGGCCGCGGCCGGCCGTGTGCGGGCGCGCGGCGCGACGCGGCGCCGGGCCCCATCCCCATCTCAGTCTGGTGCCCCTCGGCTGCGATCACGCCCCTGCGCCCCTGACCGGGCCACCGGCGCCCTTCAAAAAGAAGGGCAGGCTGCTGTGGACTCACTCTACTGTGAGTTCTGGGTGCAGCAGGTCGTCCTGGGGGACGTACCCGATCAGGCGGTGCAGCGGTAGGCCGCTGACTGGGACGCCGTTGTAGCTGACATGGCCGCGGCCGGACCACTCCGGCTGGGCGGGCGCGTCAGTGGAGAGGGGGCGGACCGAGCGACGTGCGGTTGGCGCACGCACATGTGTGTGCGTCCTTGTGTGTGTGCTTGTGTGTGTGCTTGTATGTGTGTGTGTGTGTGTGTGTGTGTGTGTGCTTGTGTGTGTGCCTTTTCGACTAGCTTGCACAAGTGGCGGCAAGCACACCCACCTCATCAAACCCCTCCCGCCCCTCGCTCCGGCCACTCCTTGTGCCCCGCCCCCGCAAATCACCCCAGCTGCCTCACCCGTGCAAGCCCCTCCATCTGCGCCCGCCGCCGCCGCCCCTGCAGCGGCCTCTTGCCCCGCAGCACATCCAGCAGCGTGCTCTTCCCGCAGCCGCTGGGCCCCAAGATTCCGCTCATGCTGAACGGCCGGAAGCTGCCCGCCAGCTGCCCAAGCACGAGCTCGCACGAGCCCGCGCCGCCGCCGCCGAGGGCGCCGCCGCCGCGGCGGAGGGAGAGGTGCTGGATATCAAATCCGACGCTTACTAGTGGCGACCCCAGGGCCCCGAGACCGCCGATCCCCGCGGCCGCCTGGCTGCCGCCTGAGCAGCTGCCAGACGGGGAAGCCGTTCGGGCGGCTTCGCCGCCGCAGGGCCGTGCGTTGCCCAGGTGGCGGCTGCCCGTCGGTGATTGCAAGTCATTTGACTCGGCTGCAAACCCACGCCCCGCGCCTGCCGCGCCCCCACCGGCCCCAGCGCACCCTCCGGCAGCCCCGGCCTCGGACGCGCCACGCGGCGTCGCTTGCGGCGACGCCGCTGC